CTCTCGAATTTTCACAGTATTTTGAGCGTACCTGAAGCATTTTTACTCGGGAAAAAACGACACTTCGCAGGTAGATAGACCGAACATTTCTCTATCTACTAGTGTAAAAATCTTGTTAAAGTTCAATAGGATTAATTAGTACTCATCAATTTCCAGAGAGCTTCTATCAACTGTCCAGAATTACCCCATTTGGGGTAATTATGGACAGTCAGTGTGTCTCGCTGGGGTAATGATGGACAGTCCAGCAGAAATGGCTGGAAGAAAGTAAAACAACTTTTTGTCAACGGCAAAGTTTTACTTTTCTGATTAAAAATTATATCATCTTGTAGAGAATTTTGAGCTCTATCTACGTTGTAAATTGCTAGTCCTTTGGACACATCCTTGATTAATTAATTAGAAATTAAACGAACATAGCCGTTTTTTCTATTTTTCTTGCTTGGGGTAATTATGGACACTCCGTGCAAATCGAGAGGCTGTCCAGAATTACCTCAACTTACTCTACCGCCTTATATAGAATTTTTAAATCACAACGCAAATAAAATAAAGATGAAAAATTATTATGTTCACCTTCAGTTTTTAAGACTAACGTGTGTACGTTTTATAGTATTAAATAGAAAACACAACCGAACTCTATAAAAATATGTCTTTTTAAACTGTATACATTTTTTCTAACTGACATATCAAAACAAAATGTTTAAAAATATAAAAAGAACTTACCCTTCAGTACCAGAATATTCGCGATATGTGCCCATCGTAGTAAAATAGTTTAGAAATACAAATTCTAAAAATTAAAAATAAACATACATATTTTCTAAAGCGACATGTAAAAAGCATGATTCTAAATGTAGAAAGATATCTGAAATAAGTAATCTTTATCAGATAAAGTATAGTCTAATTAACTAAATATTAAAATCAATACATGTCAGAACTATCGTTATACAACAGATAAATAGTACAATGTAAAGATGAATTTTTAATATTTATTAGAGAGATGCATTCGAAGTAATTCTGATATTATTTTGAAATATGAAAAAATATTCTTAATTCGAGCCTAAATTTCGAATTTTTTTCATATTCGAATAAGAATTGATAAATAATAAGTTGAAGTTATTATCTCATAAAAAACAATTTTACATTGAACGTGAAAATCATCTAATAATATTATATGTAATATAATTATATAATTTTTTATATTTTACTGGCAAATCAATCAGTTGACTTTGATCCAACATCTCAGTTGAAAAGAAGTTCTGTAATTTTCAGCACGGGTTAGACAAAATATAAGACTGTTTTATTTCCATTTTCTACTGACAACAAGCAAACACATAACTATCTTTAAGATATTAAGTTTTATTTTAACTTCTTTTTTTGTGGTTGACATCAGCTCAGATAACAACAACGAACAAAACAACCGACGAACAAAAAAATACTTTTTTCTTGTTTCCACAAAACTTTTACTTTATTCAAAATGCTTCTTTTCTAATAAAGACGTTGCGGTTTACCCATTGTACTTTTAACATATAATGATCGTACATTTTGCCAATTTTTTTTCAATAATGATACTAAGAAATTCACCGATAAATTAATGTTGGCAGCTAATTCTTCGACACTCATATTGACATTACCAACTGCAACCGATAAACAAATGGTTTTTTTTGCTTGAAATTTAATTGTGGATTTGATTTCCTCAACTTTCTGTATTAAACTATCACTATGAGTAATAGCTGTTGGAAATTTACCAGCTTTATTCAAACCAGGACCAAGAATACGTGGTATTTGTCTAGACAGCAAAAAAGAATAATGAGTAAACTAAACAGAGCAGAAAATGAATGAAAGAAAGTTAAATATACCTGATAACGACATCACTGGCTAAAAATGCATCATATTGATGGGATAATTTTCGCACTTGTTTTTTATCTTTATTAAATTTTTTTAAATCATCAATTGTCATGCATGGTATATTATTTGCACGAGCTTCATCACAATGACGTTCATCTCCCAATACACAAACGGCAAACTTTGGTTTTGGTGTATGACGTAAACGAACTGTACCACTAAAGCGTTTATCACGGCTTGGATCAAAATTTTTTAACGCTATTTGAAGTTCCACTGTTTCAACAAATTTACGCTTTTTTGTCTAAACATAAAGAAATCCATAATATTTATTTCAACATTGAAATAGTAATCTAGAAAAAGCCAGTATAAAAGGTGTACCTCGTTGGCATACGTTAGCACATTTTGTGTTGTTTCAAATAACATGTCCTACAACGGAAAGAATAATAATGTAAAGTGGTTTGTAAAAACAGTTTAGATCCTTCAAATTACCTTTGTTACTTTGGACGACATGATAAGATAGTTTTTCTGTTGACGATTTTAAAATCTAGAAAGAATAAAGAAGATACACTTTTAAAATAAGTCCCATGTAACAGCTTAGTCAGTTAATTTTCTCGACTTTATTCTTCTACTGAAGCTACTGAAAGTCGAGCTATTTAGACAAACCATGCACTTCGATTAAACTGTTATAATTACACCTTTTTCTTGACAAAAAAATCTCTTCAAAAAGTATAGTTCTCTAAAAACTACTTGAGACCAGACATGTAGCATTTTGCACAAGTTTTCCAAGCACAGCTATTCAAAAGAGAATACTAGAACATAACAAGTGAGAACACAAAGTTAGCTCTGGCATAAATTGTATCCTGTTACTGATTTGGAGATATTCCACGAAAATTTTGAAATTCAGCTTAATTTCAAGACAAATGTGAGCTTTGATTTAAGTTCAACCTTAACGATAGCTCATCCTGTTGTACAAAAAAGATTTAGAATAAAGGTAGAACTTGAGGTGTGCCTAAATTCAGAAGAAATTAGAAAAAATTAAGATAAGTATAGAGACTTTGATTTAATTCTACATTATAGCAACACAGTACACAAAAAATAGCCAATGGTTCGGGATCGATCCTTCTATCAGCTCTTAAACTCATGAACAATTAACTGTCGACTAAATCTTAGTCAGGGATTGACTTAAGTCATGGTATTGCATTTTAGGTGTTGATAGAAGTCTTTGTTTTCATTTAAGTTCGCCTTAACTCTACAAAACATGATCTTAAATTTAAGCATTGGCTTGAGACATCTCCAGGACTTAAGTCAATGCTGTAAAACAACACACTGAAGCAAACTGAATGTTGACTGAAATCTATGCTTAAGTACATAAACTTGGCAATATTGATAACTTAAAGCTCGTTTCAAAAGTAAAAACCTTCAAAGATTTTGTAGAGAACCATTTTTTTTACAGAGTAAGTATGTGTCACAATGTGACACACGAAATAAAATTGAGTTTTGAGGGAATCGATCGATTTGAAAGAAAAGTGAGTATAGCACAATGTCTGACCTACACTACCATATACATCAAAGTCCTAATTTAAAACCTGTCGATGTATTTTAACATTATTCCCATTTTTTCTGTACAGCATTAAGCTGAGAAGCGATCATTCTTTGTTGTTTTAATATTTTGTTAAAATAAGTTATACATAAAAATTTACCGGAATTATAAAATAACTTAATTTTATTTAAAAGCAGATATTTAAGATATTTATGGTTAAAGAGTGACAAAAATATTGGGGCATGTCCAACTGTGTACTTTGAGTACACAATTGATCAAAATGGTTTCAATTATTATACGTTCATACGCCTACAATAAACTACATGCAACTTTTCTCATAAAAGCTACGAAATTTTGATAAAAAGTCATAGAATATGCCAAATCAGTCGTATAAAAAATTCGACATGAATCAAGTTTTAATTAGAACAAACCATAATTCTCAGCGCCACAGCATGAGTAATCAATGAATTAAAAAGAAAAACACTACTGTTATTTCCTTATTATTTTATTTGAAAATATGACAAAAAAATTCAAAAAGTCAAAACTTTGTTCGTTTAGAATAAAACGATTTCACGATCTGTGTACTTCATTAACCATCGTTCTCTAATTGGCACAATAAATAAACTTTTTACTTGATTAGTTTTCTAGAATCTTATAAAATAAAACTCAACGCTCAGTTCACTTCTTGGCAGCCAATTAATTGAATACTTTGTATGCAAATATCAATATGAATCAATTAATAAGTTCAAGTAGGAGCTTTATCTTTATTTATTACTTTTACTTGTTGTGCTGTCAATGCAATTTCATGCTCTGATATTATTTTTTCACATTCATCTATAATAGTTTTAGAATTATTTAATTCATTCGTTACCAATTGTGAAATTGCTTCTTCATTTGTTTGTAATACTGATTCAATAGAACTATTAAGGAGACGTTCAATTGATGATAGTAAAAAACGTAATTTTACTAGTTCTGTTTTCATTTCTGTATATGTCAATCTATCTTCAACATATTTATTCCAAATTTCTTGTTGAATATGACCAGCTCCTTCCAATTTCAAAAATTGTTCCAATGTCGTAATCATTTTATTTATATGTGAACAAAAACGTTTGGATAATTCTGAATAATAATAGAGAGTTAACTTGAAGAATGATGATGATGAATTAGTTGACAATATGGCAGCTTCTCTGATACACTCGAATCCGGTACATGAAAACATTTGATTTGTTTTCATTTGATCTGTTACTGAAGTTGTCGTTGAAGGAGAGAAAGGAAGAAGATTATCAGATTTTTTATCGGAAGATTTATTTGTAAATAATCCAAAAGCCCCCATCAAAATGTGAGAAGGTTTCAAATGACGAATAAAGGAAAAGCGGCTATAAAATACCATCTAAAAGGTGGCAACAATTAATTAATTAACATAGGATTCCATACTAAAATGCACTGCTTGTTATTTCTAGAATCCTACTTGAGTTCATAATTTCAAGAACAATTTTCGTATCTAATCAAATCGAAGAGAATAACATTTTCTGTCAAGAAAAAATAATTATTTTCATGAAGTGACAACATATAGAGCTTGCAAACAATTAAAATGAACCACAAAGATAAACAGAAAAGACCAGTGTGAGAGACGATCTCCTTTTGTTGAAATCGAATTTATTGTCGACAGAACGATAATATAACAATAAACAGTATCGCCTATAACGGTTTCATTACAGTATAGCACGCTTGTTTAGATCAATTATTACGTCAATGGATCATAAACCAAACATATTAATTTCTTAACGAAAATAACTTGCATTATCCAATTTAAATTTGAATTCTGTCAAAAAGCAATGTTAATTACAGCGCATCGAAGTCGACAAAAAAAAAAAATTGTTCTTACGAGGAATATATTATCTTGCTAGAAAGAGATGTTTCATTAACAGCAATGGTGGTTGATCTTCGTAGAGCTCTTGGGCACATGCTTTCAGTTGAAAGTCAGAAAATTCGCTTTTCTAATAATAGAAGTATATTTTTCTCAATAATAAAAGCGAAATTAAAAAATCGCCTACATCTATAATACGATTCATGTTTTGATTTTCAAATAAAAATATTCTAGATCCTATGTTGAACAGAAAAACTATATTCTAAAACAAATGCGAAACTGACTTAAACATTCGGTAAATCTGCCATTTTAAACCATACATCATAAGTGAAATAATTTTATGAAGTAGAAAAGTTGCTTTCTCATATGAACCGTACTACAGGTCGTTTTTCTACTGATAAAATTTCAGTCTCTTTTATCCACAGTAATTAACTAAGGAAAAATTGTATAAAATAATCTATTTGGATATTTTGACCCTGTGTAAAATAAAGCTAAAAAGATAAATTGTCCGATCTGATTAGTTGAGCCGCCATCTTCACTGACCAGATCTGACAATTTATCTTCTCTTACACTCATTTTCTTAGTAAAAAGATATTTTCTGAAAGTAAACCTTTTAGGCTACATTATGTTGACTAAACAAAATTGAATGAACAGCTTAAAAATATTTCAGAAATATAAACAAACAGAAACAAACAAGAACTCTGTAAACATTATAATCAAAAGCTCTTATGAAACAACAGAAAATGTAAAATTTATATATTATCATCTTTTAATTCATCTGGCATAGTTATTATTCCAGTACTTAACCATTCCGATACTTGTTTCTTCCATATTGGTCGTTCTTCTAATGGTGGAAAACCATCTTGTTTTGCCATTGCATTTCCTCGTCGAAAGCGTTCAATAGCTGCCTAAAATTAAAGAAAATGAGATATCAGAAATAAATGAAGTAAAAATAGATATCACACTAGAATAAGCGTTTAACAATCGACTTTGGTGTTTTTTTCTGTAGAAAATCTCCCCATTACCTCACAAGAAAATAAAACTAATATTTTTAGAAGAGACAATTTTAGGCATGCACCAATTCTAAAATTGGTTTTTTTGGTGCATCTGCAAAAATAATTGTATATCTCAAATTATTTGTTACCAATTTCTATCCACAATGTAGGATTATAACGTCAACTTTTTCCTACAAAATCCTATTTGGAAATTTTGCGTCAGCATTAAAATTAAACATTATTTTTAAAAAGTGGAATAGAAATCGGCATTGGGGAGATTTGATCGAAATTGGTTAATATTTTCCTTGTTTTCACCTTCGCAAATGCAAGTACAACAATACTTCATTTTGTAGATAAAAACTTGCTGAACAACCGTATATATGCAACAAAACATTTAAAACAAAACGTCTTAGACATTAGAAATTTTTTTCAATAACCTTCAAAAAAGAACTGATGTATGCCTAGACAATTTCAATATTAAAAAACATATTTAATTTCAGTTAAGAAAATATTATTGCACTATGACATGTCTAAACACTTTAAAATGATGCATTATGTCCAAATCAAAAGAATAAATGATCAACATTTCATCCAGAAAAAACATGATTTTTATCATCACACTACAAAAGTTTAATTAAACATTGACTAGTGCAAATACGTAAAATAAATAATCGTTGTGAAGTATTTTGTACATGTGATGTCAACGATTGACAGTAAATAAAACATGAACTATGTGAATAGCAAGACAAAGTTCTATTTTTCACGTATCATTCATAATTGAGACAATTGTTGATATGAATTCTTAACATTGTGTATAAAATAGAAATTGTGGTAAGATTCATTTCATTGGCACACATTGTGATGGTAATAAATTTAATTGAATAAAAATATTTTTTGTTGACTATTAATCTCAATAATGCAAATTTGTAATCGCAGTCAGTACCTGTGATTTTTCAGTCAATTGTTTGATTTGTATAGGTTATGAATAAAAAAAAAGCAAAATATTCGCATTTTCAGCCTTCTTCAAGCAATTTTTTCAGTATTATGAGGTGAATAATCGCACATTTGTTTATGTATTGAGTTTTTAACAGGATTTCGCTTTCAAATATCAATCGCACCTCATTTTAATATACGGCGGTTTGTTTGTTGTCTATTTGACACATTTTATGTATTCTTCGTCCTCAGTTCTTCAAGTTCTTGTTTTGTCAAATTTTCCATAATCATTCAATTTATTTAGTTACTATTCGCTAGAGAAATTTTAACTCGGCCATTTTTTACTTTTCCAGTTCAACTATTCCTTGATGATAATCATTTGATAATAATTTTTTCATTATTTGAATGTTCATTTATCGTTTTATCTTCAAATAATAATCATCTACGTTTGTCCTTATTGAGATATTGACATTTTTTTATGATGTTAATTCATTTACTTATTTCAAAATAGTTTTGTTGTAAACATATAAAAATATTCATTTGTTAACTCGTTGTTGAATTCATTTAATAATTTATACAAAAGCAATTTTGTCGATAATCATGTGTATTATTTGGTTAAGTTTGTTAGTTTGTTGACCGTTTCTTTACTCAATTGATTTCATCCTCTTTCGCATTTGCTACTATTTTTCAGCAATTGTTTGTTTATTTTCATTCCTTTCATATGTCTCTATGTTTTCATCTCATCATTGACCATCATCGCGACGTGGAAAAGTTTTCGTGTTGTTATTGCTGCTGCTTTATTAAAAAAAAGGTGCGCTGGAATCGGTGGTGAAAATTACATCGGATTGAAGAATAGAAATGGCAAACAAAAGGATGGAGGAAAGAACAGAAAAAGGAGGATGTGAACTAGTATTGTGATTGTGACTGTATTTTTCTTTTTTAGTATATCTGAAACGTAAATTTTAGTGAACGTATATCAAGAGATTTATTATTTTGCGTTTTTATCTTTTTTTTGTGCCTTTTCTAAGAATTAGAAATTATAGAAGTTCAAGGAAAAATTTATCTATAAACCATCGATTCTACAACTTGCTACAGAAAAGTAAATTTTTCTGTATTTACAGTAGGTGATATCAACAGGTAAGAAATACTTTTTATGTTGAATATTATAGTTCTCAGCAGTGTTAATCGTTTTTTGTCTATCAAACTATGTAAAAAAAATAGGTTTCCAAAATATGTCTCAAAAATCAGAGCAGTTGAAAATAAGGGAATCAAGTACACAAGTAATTCACAACATGTAACTAGACAAAATTCTAAATTACTTACCCAAAATTTCTTACACGTTTTATAATTGTCTACCTGAAGGCGACATGAGTTAATATCGTAACCATACATGGCTAAACATCTTTCAGATTTTTCTGATTCCTAAAATAGTTAAAATGGTAAGTAGAAAATTTTTTCAACAATTTCATCCAGAGAGGATAATATACATAAAATTTTACATGAGTTTAAAGTTCGTAGTATTTAAAAGTCAAAAATATTTTGTTAAATGTCGTTAGATTATCCATCCACTAAACGTAATAATTACTTTCAAACAAGGGTTTAATGCTTCTTGTCGCTGTCGAAAAATGGTTTTTCGCTGTTCAATGGGTAGTTCTTGATATCTGTATAAACCTGGTTTATACGCTTGTGAAACACTATCTGAAGGTAAGTTTTCTTTAGAAAATGAATTGGATGAAGACGGTTTATTATCGTTCGTTGTTGTTTTTGACATCTATAATACGAAGTACGTTTTTTTATTCTTCTATGAAATGAAGATCACACATTATCTTATAGTAAACAAAATTTATAAACAACGAAAATTGAAGTGTTACCAATGTATGCTTATTGCAATCAATGCTTTCTTTTTTATATTATCACACAAAATCAAAGTAGATTAGAACGAAATAACTGATGAAGTAACTTACATTGATCGATTTAAGAAAGGAAAAGTTAGACTTAGATTTAATATTTTATTTTCGTTCTTTGACTTGAATTTCTCTCAGATGTATACAATTTTTCAATTTGGTTGTTAAAGTCTGCAATAAAAGTATGTAGAGACAAGAGTGATTTAGTATGTATTCTGTTTTTATAAGATTTTTTGTTCACTGTAAAGACTGCATAACAATTCCTCAGGTGAATGTACTCAACCATGAGTACTCAGTGTAGTACTCTGCTGAAAAATGCGATGAGTACTCGTGCAATTTTTTAATCATGAAGTGAGTACTCATGTGACTTCTGTTGAGCATTTCTTTCGAAAATATACTCATTGATTACTCATGCACAGATGTTTGAGTAAGTCGTACTCATGTTATGAGTATTTTCAGTAGGGCCAGTAGAGGCGTTTTTTTTCTACTTTAGAAAAAATTTTGCATTTTTAGAAACAGATTCTTTTATTTACTCTTCCAAATTTTCACCAGAAATATAACCAACTGTAGAAGAGATTCATATACTCGAAGATACTAATAACATAACATGCATAGTATAACATACAAAACACTTTCTTTCAATGATTAAACACAGAAGAACATTTCAGAAGAAAAATCAAACAAATCATGACCAAGTGGACAGTTTCCCTCAATAATGGAAAATTTTCGTTTTTTCCCAACGAACCTGAGAAAATTTTCTTGCATTGTGAATGAGTTTCACAACGTCTTCATAGTGACTCCTTTCAATTCTGATTTCTTCAGGACAGCCCTGAAACAGACTTAACAATAACAATAAATGGGCGTTGCTAGGAATGATGAAAAACAACTTTTGAAAGAAACAAAAAGAATAACAAAATGCACCGAGCTGATGAAACGCCAAAAAAAAAGAAAAACAAATTCTTTGTTTGAAACAGATCAGATCATAAACAGGAAAAAGAAAAAGTGAAAGCTTCGAAAAAATCTCTTATTACTACGTTATAACATTTTATAAACGGCTATCTTCTTGATCAAACTCCAGCACCGGTGCTGTAGGTGGTGGCGATACGTCATCTGATGGATGAAATTCTGAGAATTTACGCAGAGAATTTTCATTAGACTCATTCTTCGAATTATTAGTATTATCTGTTCCAAAATATCTGTCACCAAAGTTTCCCAACCCTGGACAAATGAAATACTGAGCATCTAAGTGTTCATCACATGCAGTCGCAATAATCTTCACTTTGTTAAATGCATAGCCAATAGTTTGTACACCTGAAATTAAAAAAGAGACATATATTCCATTTCTAGTCTAGAACCAAACCGTGTCGAAAAAGTTCACTAAAAATCTGATAAACCACATCAAAGACTAGTAGTAGCCTGTAGGGTTTTATTGATCTAATACACGGGTACTAACAACATTTCAACGAATGTTACCTTGTTTCGATACAAGTAAAGATAATAATGCAATTTTTTCTTCATCAACATTATGATCTAATAGAACACGGATAGCCATCATCGCTGCGGCACCTGTAGCCACAGTGGCATCTAATATAAACACATACGAATCACTTATATCACGTGGCAGACGAAGATAATGAAGCTAAAACCAACTAACACAAATAAAATAAAGCAAATAAAATTAACGCAATCAAATCATACTTCTGGTTCACCAGTCAACTGATTTGTTTGTATTAGAATTTTTCCTATTTTAACATCTTTATAAACTTCGATCAATGCTGGCTCAAGACATTCGCCAGCGCGTACAATCGATACACCACAGACCTTCAAATAAACAAAACAATCTGAAAGTGCCATCACTGAATTTCTATGAATGTTTAAATGCTTACTCGTGCATTCACATGTTTTTTGCCTTGGTAAGATAAACCTTGCTGTGTCTCAACTGTTACATCCTAAACAAGTAAACAAGAGCCAAACTTGACATTCATATTACATTATTCTTATATACTTCAAATGGGAGTAGGGTTAAAGCGTATTCAGTACATAGCCGCATCAAACGATTTGAATAAAATATAAATTCGTCTCGACCCGTTTTATGATTTCTAAAGAAATAGATCAATTTTTATGATTGAGACGAAGAATACAAAACGGGCAGTTTACCGTATAATCGTGTGTAAATATTTGGTCTGCAGTGTCTGTTCAAGTAGATAAAATGATTGTGGCATAGGAAGTTCTTTAAGAAATTCGAATCTGTGGGCTATTTCTGAACGAACTTTAAGACCACGCTAAAAATAGAACAAAATGATTTCATGAGATTAATGCACTAGTAAAGACTAAAAAAGGAGAAATCAACAATTAGACCAATTATGTCGAACCATGTCATTACAGGATTTAACAAAGTTTTTATTTTGATAAAACATAATGTAGTGTTCGCAGAAGAAGATTGAATTAAGTAAGATGAATTTGAACCTTGAGACTTAATAATAATACGCTATTCTGTTTGGTCACCATTCCGTTACTATTTTCCTAACTGATATCCATTATTTGAATTCAATAATCTCTCTAAACTGATCCCTGTATTAATTTTCAAATGTTTTATGCTTACTTTTTGAAGTTCTCGATTGACATGATTCACAATCAAATCGATCGCAATTTTATTTTCGCCACCTAAACAAATAAAACAAAGAGAAACCTTTTTTTGTTGTTGTCAACATCTTGGCTTTAAACTAACACTCATCTACCTCTTGGAACTATCAAATCTGCATAGATCATCGTTGGTGCTATAAAATTGTCATAACTTGGTTTAACAAAACGTGTGTATTGTTGAATGACGCCATCAATTTCTCTTCCACGTTCAGTAATATCACGCTCCAAACGTCGAGCAAGGCGAATATCAGCATCCGTATCAACAAATACTTTCATATCTAAAAGCTGAAAAGAACATGCAAAAACAAGAAAACAACACAACCGTTCAAATATTTAACGGTGTTTAGTAAAATGGGATTTCTACAGTGGTTTAGTTTACTTACACTAATGGGATTCTCTTCTCTTAGTTCATTTTTTCATTGGCAAACTCAACCGGTGATGGAATATAGGAAGAAAATCAGTGACTAATTTCATATAATGTAACTTACTTCACGTATTTCTTTGCTAGCAAAAGCCATAATGCCTTCAAATATAACAACGTTAGCACCGTATAGCGTTTTCTGTGAAAACAAAAGATCAAACATAATCAATCCATTGAAACACTTTATTTTCTACCACTCACCGTATAATTTTCTCTTGAATGTGTTTGGAAATTATACAATGGTATTTCAACTTGTTTTCCATTTTTTAGATTTTTTAATGTTTCTAATAGACGGTTAAAATCAAATGCATCTGGATGATCGAAATTATAATTGTTTTCATTAGCTTGTTGATGCTGTTCATCTGATAGAACCTTGAAACAAATAAAATACACTATAAGTACTTTCAACATTGAATTTTTGTTAACGCAAAACGTACTTTATAAAATGAATCCATACTTAGTAGAGACACCCATGGCACATTTAATTTTTCAACGATACGTTTAGCCACAGTTGTTTTGCCTGATGCACTACCACCACAAATACCTTAATTAGATACAAAACTATTTGTGATTGATCATAATAATCGTGGACTTTATGATAATGTTTACCGATAACAAATGCTTCTTTGGTCTCTCCACTGACATCATACCACGGTGGTCTTCCTCGATAAATTAAAGAAGTATATATGATACAACGTGAGTAGAGTTTACGAGATTGCTTACCTGCTGTATAAATTGGATTACGATTATTATAAAAAACGCGATCTTCTTTCGAACGACTGGTTGTACGTTGTCTTCGTAAGCGAGCAGTAGCCGCCTTTCCCGCTGATGATGATCGCCGTGTGTTTTTAAAACTAACTGTTCGTGAGTATTGTGACGAATTTGATAGCTCAATAGAACGAGAATCTTGAAATATTTCATCGTCATTGTCACTACTGCAATAGAAAGAAAAACAGGTCTGAGGTAAAGTAGCGTAATAGTCAAAGCGTAAGAATGTAAATAATAAGGTTGCAAGATCGAATCTGTCGCTGCTGTTTCTTCCGTTATCTTCTTTGACGCTAATGTGGACAATGAAGACAAAAAATAAACAGCTACAATAAACTGACCGATATTTAGGCAAAAACGTTGTTTTCTAATGTTTGTTGTTTAGTTGGTTGGTTACATTATATTAGATAAAAACTCATGCATTTCAGACACTTCATGAACTCAACACTAAGTCTAGAATTCATTTCCTCTAGACATGGGCGGAACCATCCTGATCCCGACGGGAATGGGAATGGTACCGGGACCAAAAAAACCTTTTTAATGGTGGATCAGGGCTGGAACCAAGGATTTTTTTGACAAAAAGCAAAAAATTTACGTTTTCTCCACACTTAAATATAATTTTTTCCGGGATCGGGACGGGACTGAAAAATGTTTCCGAGACCGGGATCAGGACTGAAAAACTTTGGTCCCGCCAATATCTAATTCCCACTCCTATGAAATAAACCAATTAATCAATTTAAACATTGAAAAAATAATTCTTATTTCACTTTTTAAAACCTCTTTATGTAAGTCTTCCTGCAATTATGCCATGTACCGAAATGTAAAAAATGTATTTGTTTGTTTATCAAAATAAATCATATCAACCAAATAGAGAAATTTTAATAGTTTCTGCAGCGAATCAAACACTCAATGGCGTTGAGAAATTTTTTAACAACGCTTTGACTTGGAGAGCCTGAATCTGCAATTCGTTTTGATTGAACATGCTTTTAAAATTTCTCAATTTTGATGATATGAATGAAAGTATTAAACATAAAATAGTTTTCAGTTCAGGAATTGGATTTCAAATAAAAGTTCTTAATGAACTCGTAACGATAATTCTGTTTCCTGACCATATATAACACTGATATTTCAATGTATTAATAAAAAATAAGTTGCCTACCTAGTGTCATGTTCTGAATAATAACTATTGATGATTAGCATTTGCCGATCAGATATTGACTTTTCGCCGAAAGACTTTATATCATTAATGATACTGTTAATATCTTTTGTTTCCATAGTAAGAGAATAGTTTTAGAGTTTACGTGTATAATTTCAAAATGAAACAAGAAATTAGCCTTCTCACTTACTCGGCCTTTTTCTTTTTTTTCTTCTTACAAACCGAACCTGATGCAATCGCGTCTACAAAGCGAAATTATATGACACACATACACGTTACAGACATACTTTCATAGGAATAAAAAGTAGAATATCTCTAATAAAAATGCTTTCAATATTCTCTTTTCTTTCTCTCTAAAAAAGTGGACAAATTCCTCTATATGAATATATTTTAGCAGGAACGGTTATTATATCTTTCTCTATAACGTAAAACCTTGGTGTGCTTTTTCTATTCTTTTTTTCTTTGCTACTTCGATTGGTTTTTCATGCAGTCAGCGAAAAGGACAGGTGGCTCCTTGTCCTCTTTCATTGATACCAGGTCTTTATAAAAAAAAATTCAATCACTCATGACAGAGTCTTGCATTCCTAAACGAACAATGTTTGAAGAAAATAACAATGATCCCATGGAAATATTTTTCCTGGATGAAGCAAAAAAATAAGCAGTTTCAGGAACGGTTTGTGACTAAAATTTATCTTGTCTAATCAAAAGGAAAAGTCAGAATCAATAATCATTGGCAAGTATCTCGGCATAAAAATTGTCAATACAATTATTAAATACTCTTCCCGGATCAATTTAGGAGAGACTAAAAATGTTTCAGATTAAAGCTCAGAAAGTCATAGTTCCATTTTTTATGTAAATAAAATGCTCATCAGTACAAGAGAAAGGTTACAGCTCAATAGCAGCATCCTTCTTCGAACGAAAGTTTTCATTAAATAATAAATAGGAATGATCAAATTTAGCTAGACTCATTTAACCAGTGATTCTATAAATGACTGAGATTATTTTTAATTTTTGTTAATCTTAAACAGTGATTGATAGTAAGTCAACATAGTAATAAGAGGATATCTAACTTTTTTTTATATTAACAAAATTTATTAGAATAGTCATATTATAAAGAACAGCTTCTACATGTTTTTTAACTACTATGGCTAATAATTTTTAACGTTTACTATTATGATTAATAATGATACTGGTATTATTTGTTTCTGAGTAATATTGTTAAATGAATGATGATTGATGTGTCATGAATTTATAGATAGTAAGTTATAATAGAGTAAGTTGGGGTAATTCTGGGCGGTCTCTCGAATTTTCACAGTATTTTGAGCGTACCTGAAGCATTTTTACTCGGGAAAAAACGACACTTCGCAGGTAGATAGACCGAACATTTCTCTATCTACTAGTGTAAAAATCTTGTTAAAGTTCAAT